CGAAATGACGAGGCGACGTGGATCGGGGTCTAAACACCCAGGATGCACCAGCAGGGAGCCCTCTGCAGCGTGGATGGAGCCCTATCAGAGTCCTTGTCAGGCACCACCATGCAACCCGACTGCCGTAGGCACAGCCACTCACTGATCAGGGCTGGGCGTCTTGCTGCGCGTTAAGCCATTAGCGGGATCTCTGGGCTGGCACAGGCAGGGCTACCGATCCCCACTGCCACGCAGAAGCAGCTCCCGGCCTGGGTGGTAACACTGAGTTCCGGCCAGAGCCAGGCTCTCTGGGCGGCCAGCGCCAGCCGGGTTTGGCCACCCAACCGGAAGCCGTGTTCACGTCCAATGAAAGGTGCCTCTTAAGTGTATGTGTGTGTGTGGGGGGGGACCTCAAGGCATTGGGACACAGATCAGATGCAGTAACAGCACCTCCAGTTCACTGAGCAGGCCTGCCTTCCCCAGAAGTGGGACCCGAGCCTGGTTGTCTAAAAAGCCATGGGCATTACAGTGCAGGCCGAGGGCCCAGAGCCATGGGCTGAAGAACAGGAGGCCATGGCAGCCAGATGGCGAGTGTCTGAAACGAACTGGGATGAGCTTATTACAACTGCCAGCTCCCCGGTTTCGCCCCAGGATTGAGCCAGCAGGCCCAGGGGAGGCCGAGCTGCACCTCTCAAATACCTGAGACATTCGGACTGGCCTGCCCACCAGCGATGCGGGCCCTCTGAGGTGTGGTCTGGAGAGCAAGGGAGTTGGCACAGGTGAGAAGCTGGCACAGGAGGATGGCAAGAGGGGACGTGACCGTGGGCCCCCCCCGGGGAGGCTGTCCTGATGGCTGTGGGTCCCGGAGGATGGCTGCCCAGAACATCCCGGCGGTGTCACCGGCCTGGCATCACACATCAAGGACATTCACCGCGTGCCTTTGGGGTGCAAAGCTCTCCGCCAGGTTCCTCCCGGACTCCTGACGGGAACAGGCCGGTCCCCAGCCCCGCCTCCAGGAAACAAGGTCACCTCCACGCCTCAACACCCCCATGGGCCCAGAACAGCCTGATTTCACTCGTCCCACACGCGTGTAGTTATATGTGTGCAGTTATGTATTTTTAAGAGACTTCCAAATGCTTCCGACTAAAACCCGTTTCCCTTTAAAGCGATGAGAAGTGGAACCCTCGGAGGAAGTGAATCCTCACACAACAGCAGAACCCTGCCTCGGCCCCTCCTGTGCAGACAGCTCATGGCCAAGTTTATTTATTTTTGTGTTACACACACGAGGAGCACAGAATCAGACGAACTTTAGTAAACAATAACTTAAAAGCGATGAAAGGGTCGCATGTGACATAAATTTGTCAAGTGGATGATTAACACAATAAATGGTGAAAACTGACGATGGTGCAGGCAGGCCAGTGGTCAACCGACACCCCACACGTTAACACAGGGGCCAAAGGACTGGTGCATGTCTACTGGTTGGTCCTTGCTTCTCAAACAATTTTTGGAAAAACCATTTTTGGAAAGCTGACTTCAGCCCTGGTTTTCCCACTTCGTCGGCGCACGATCTTAGCAGGTCACCGTCCGAGGGCAATTTGAAAACCAATTTACAGTCCTATCCTAGACCCCAGCTGTAAGTCTTCGAGGATCGTCCACATTCACTGACGTCGGGAAAACGCAGCTTGAGGTTCGAGAAGTGAACGGATAGAGCGCCACCCCCCCAGCCAGGTGCCCGCGGTCAGCACCGACCACACCGCAGGGCCCGGTGACCGAGTTAGAAGGCCCCTCCCCTCTATCTCTACCCCAGACACTGGGCCTGGGCTACAGAACGCAAAACACAGCCCAGCTCCTACGCGGCGACAGCTGGCTCATGCTCAGGTAGGCACAGGATTGACGTTAAAGTTGAAAAAAAAAGCACCTCAATTCATTAAAGAAAACAAAAATAGAAACACGCTCAGATGAATTTAACTTCTCTGGGTCACCTGAGAACTGAGTGGCCCCCAGAGGGGCCAACAGAATGCTTTGTGCCTGGTGTGCCAGTTCAAGTCAGGCTATGTAAGGCCTTGAAGCGGGCAGTACAAACTTTGCTTATTGGTGGGTAAAGTGCCAATTTTATGTACAAATAAGTAAACTTTACAATCTGCTCGGGAGCAGCGAGGCTGACAGCTTCCCAGGGCCATGTGGTCGGAACTGAACGCTTAGCCTGCGGACCAGACCGCCATGTCCCCACAGAGCTGATAAAAAAGTTGATAAAAAGAAAAAAAAAAGCACCTCAGTTCATTAAAGAAAACAATGAATGTTGTTCGGAGCCACTGAGAGGTCCCGGACGCCTGCCTGCTGGTCAGACATGGACAGGAGCTTTGTCCACAGTCTCCCTCTAGCTGAGGCCGTCAACACATCGGCTCATGCTGGGTAGCTAGTTTTAAAGATGTCACTGACGAATGTTAATGTTCAGCTAGTTGATAAGAACTAAAGGCACTAATTTTTTTGAAAAGGTAAAAAAACATATATACATATCAACAAGCTGAGAGCGGACCTTCAGTTCGTTCAGAAGTCGGCGTCCAGGGTGAAGGAGTTCTCCGTCGGACTCGACATCACGCCCATCCTCTGGTACTCGCCCACCCGCTTCTCGAAGAAGTTCGTCTTCCCCTCCAATGAGATGTTCTCCATGAAGTCAAATGGGTTTTCTACTCGGAAAACCTGCAAGGGGCCCAGCAGCACGTAAACACCGAGCGCGCACAGGAACCAGGGGTCCCAACCACACCCTCGCCCGGTGGGAGGGGCTCAGGGGTTGAGCGTCGAACCAGGAACCAGGAGGTCAGGGTTCAATTCCCGGTCAGGCACCTGCCCAGGTTGCGGGCTCGATCCCCAGGAGGCAGCCAATCAATGATTCTCTCTCATCATTGATGTTTCTCTCTCCCCCTCTCGGAAATCAATAAAAAATATATTTAAAAAAAACACACTCTACCTTGCTGAAACCCAGCTCCAGCAGGAGCCTGTCGGCCACGAACTCAATGTAGCGCTTCATCAGAGTGCAGTTCATCCCGATGAGCTTCACGGGCAAGGCCTCGGTGAGGAACTCCTAGGGCCAAAGCACAGCTGCTCAGTGAACCAACCGGAGGCCCTGA